ACACTAATGTGCATTCACAAACTCTCCCTAATTTCATCAAGTTCAATTACTTGATGAATGCACTCAAAGGGGAAGCCTACAGTGCGTGAAGAGATTCCAAATTTCCGACGAAAACTATCCCAAGGTGATAGACTTCTTGAAGAAGAAATACGGCAATAAAGAAGAGCTAGTTAATAGCCTCATCGATAGGATGGCTTCTTGTCGGCTTGTTCCAATGCGTTAAGAGATCAACGGGAGTTGCTTGAGAAGGTTCAAGTAATCATTTCCCAACTTTCCATAAAAGGGGAACATATTGACAGTCAATGGGTTTTTAAGCAAGTCTTGTCCAAGTTCTCCATGAGTGTCGTAGAGTCTTAGAGAAGAAACTTTCATGCCCCGCGACCGCCTCATTTGAAATGGAAACTCTAATAAAGCTGCTAGACGAAGTGATATCGGTTGAAGAAATGGTGGCTCTCTACACCAAGGGTGAGCCATCGGAATCGGTTACTCCACATCGAGAAAAGGATCAAGAGAGGTAGGGTCTTTGAGAAAAACAGGCTACGGCTGCATGTACTGTGGAGATGGTCATAAAGCAATTGCATGTACAAAGTACAAAACCCCGCGAGAACGGTCTCAATACTTACGGGATAACAGATTATGCTTTACTTGTGCTTCTCCTTCGCATTCCACCAAAGATTGCAAGAAGCGTAAATGCTTTGAATGCCAAGGGGCACATCATACGACTTGCTGCTTTAAGACAGTACCGCAGAGTAGGCGGGACGGCCCTAAACAGCAAGACACCCATACTTCTGGGCCCAATCCTAGCACGAAAAAGACCAGTAGGAATCAAGTTAGGTCGTTGGCCCCATCAAGGGTGATTCATTTTGTTCAACAAGACATGACTGTTTGTGACTTACAGTCCGTGCAAGAGAGTGCAGAGTCTCAAGTTTTCCTTCCGATGGGGCAAGCGACTATAATGGATCCTTCCACAGGGGAATTGAGAAAAATTTCCATATTGCTCGACACTGGTGCGGAGTTGTCCTTTATTGAGCAGGCGTTAGCTGATGAACTGAGGTTACAAGAAAAAGGAAAAGCCGCCTTACGTCTTAGAACATTCGGATCGGATCAAGTCCAGCAGAAAAACCAGCCATAGAGGTCACCCTAAATATAATATATGGGATCGCGATGGACTCCCGTTAACACTTAACTTATTTACAAGTGACATTCTTACTAAATCGTTGCCATCACCGAGGGTATCTCAGGGGATGTAGATTTCATCAAAACATTAGATTTCCCTGTTAGTATCAATGGACAGACCATCGTGACAAAAATTCAAGTGTTACTAGGTTGCGACCAACTATGGGCTCTTATTCGTGACGATCAACCGCAGATTCGGTTACCTTCCGGTCTCACTCTGCTGCCTACTAGGCTAGGGCACCTACTCACAGGTCGGTGTGATCCGACGAGGAAGGCCAAACAAGTAACCAATGTGGGGAACGTAGACAGATGGCCTAAATTTCGGACTCTGGATACGCAAATTCATACCCTTTCAACAGAACCATTCGAAACTCCCCCGAAGGAAGAAGAATTGTGGGAAAGATTTTGGGCCCTCGAAACCGCAGGCACGGAAGAATTCGGAGTGTCAGAGAAAAATATTCGATCTATGGTGGACCAGCAGGTGTGGGAATTTTCGCAATACTGTGGAGAAGCGTGTCGATGGGTACTACGTACGTTTACCGTGGAAGGACATCGGTGTAGAATTACCTGATAACAGAGCTATAGCATTCAAGCGACTTCAGAGTACATGGAATTCACTCCATAAGGACAACACCTTGCTTGGATCCGCTACAACGAAATCTTTGAGGAGCATTTACAGGCCAATATAATCGAGAAGGTAGAGGACGAAAGCCAAGTAACAGGCACCCATCTACATTACCTTCCTCATCAAGCGGTATTGACCCCTCATAAGACGACAACCAAGATCCGCATCGTATATGATGCATCGGCTCACTTTAAAGATTGTCCGTCTTCAAATGACACAGAGGTCCCGTAGTTCTGCCCGAATTGTTTGGTGTACTTCTACGATTTCGGATAGGAACAATTGCATTGATATCAGATGTCGAGAAGGCTTTTCTACAAATTCGCCTGCATGAACAAGATAGAGATGCAACGCGTTGCCTATGGCTAAAAAACCACACACGGCCTCCATCGAAGGAGAACATCCAAGTGTTCCGGTTCACTCGCATTGCCTTTGGGTTGATAACCTCACCATTTCTCTTAGCTGCGACAGTACAATTTCACCTTGACCAGTATGAGAGCGATTTGCCGTTGATATCAGCAGTAAGGGAGAACCTTTATGTCGATAATCTCCTCTTGACGGCTGAGACAACTCAGGAGGCTGTTCAAGTTTATGAAACGACAAAGAGGATCTCCAACAATTTGGAAATGAATCTTCGGGAGTTTGTCACGAATGATGAGGGGTTTTCAAGTAAAATAGCCGAGAGAGATAGATCAGCTAGCGCGATCTCAAAGGTATTGGGGATAGGTTGGAATCCAGAGTCGGATAAGTTTACAATATCATGCCGCATTCCAAGTAAAGACCGAATAACTAAGCGGACGGTTGCAAGTGCGCTCGCGTCAGTATATGACCCGATGGGATGGATGCTACCGCTACTTCACAAAGCAAAGGTATTCTTACAATCGTTATGGAAAGAAAAACTTGACTGGAACTCCCCTTTGCCGCCCGGTCGTCTCAAGGAGTGGACGGATATTTGTAACGAAATCAATGACTTTTGTTTCCCGCTTTCTGGTGAAAAAGGGCTCAGATGTCAACTTAGTTGTCTACGCAGATGCAAGTAGTGAGGCTATGGCAGCCTGCTGCTACTTGCAAACAGCCAATTCAAGTCATCTTCTTATGGCAAGAGGGAAGTTGCCACCTATCGAGTCTGAGATGACAATTCCTAAGCTGGATCCACGCATTCACCTTAGCGGCGCGATTGGCAAATTCAATTATACGGCAGATTTCGACTGTAGTAAAAGTAAGTCACGTGAAAATAATTAGTGATTCGGAAATAATATTAAACTGGGTTACCACAAAACTTCGGCATGATGTGGGCCCTTTCGTGAAAAATAGGGTGACGGAAATCCACAAAGTTTTTACACATCTGGAGAATTTGGGATGTACGGTTCGAGTGGGCCACATTCAATCAGTCCTTAATCCAGCAGACTGTGCGACGAGAGTCTTGGATAGGAAAACTTTCGCGAATCATTCATGGTGGGAGGGACTGACCGACCCCGAAGACCGAGAAATCCGATGGTACCCGTTAGCAAACGAGACTGAGGGCTCTATAAGACCGGAGCACGTCGCTACTTCTCTCACACATCAGGATCCTTTGCTAGATCTTTATGCCGTAGGACCGGTATCAAGTATCGGCGAAGATATTTTTTCGAGTTACAAAAGCTCACATTAATAAGTGCTAAAAGAGTTGTAGCATATGCTCGTCGATTCATTAGAACACTCGTCGAGAAGGTCAACCGCAAAAAAGGAACCCATATAAGGTTATCAAAGATGTTTGGCGAATGTAGGAGCGCTGCTACCCTAACAGTAGAAGGGAAGGAGATCATCGTCGCAGAATATGTCCTTGTAAAGCAACATCAGATATCCCACTTGCGCCCCGACATAATGCGATCTCTGGCACAACTAACTCTTCAATATGATGAATGCGACATTCTTAGGTGTTACGGAAGAATGGGTAAAAGCAACATGAACGACAGCTAAGTACCCCATGCTGGTCCTTCAAAATTCTTGGTTGGCGCGCCAAATAATCGATGACTGCCATAGCAAAAACCATCCAAGTACTAGTCATACAATGGCTATAGTAAGAGAACGGTACTGGATTCCCAAACTTCGCGCTCAAGTCACGAAAACAGTCCGTCACTGCGTGGTGTGTCAACGATTCAATAATTTGCCGTACAAGTACCCACAACAGGGAACCTACCAACCAGAAGAGTTCAACGAGCACGACCTTTCGCCCACTTAGGACTAGACTATTTCGAACCCCTTTAGATAGACCTGGAAAATGGGGAGAAAGGGAAAGCGTATGGATGTATTATCACATGCATGGTCACAAGACTCATACATCTAGACATCGTGAAGGACATGTCAACCACCGCATTCCTGGGGATGCTACGAAGATTTTTCTTGAGAAGAGGTATCCCTACTACGATCACCTGCGATAACTCGCCTACTTTCACTCTAGGGGAAACGGTTCTATTTGAGTGTATGGAGAGAGCTAGAAAAGATGAGGCCATCGCCCGCTACATCAATTCCAACGGGATTGATTGGAAGTACATCACCCCATACGCTCCGTGGCAAGGAGGGGTTTACGAGCGTCTCATCAAATCGGTCAGATTGTCCCTCTTCAAATCAATCGGAAAAAGAGCATTGCCCGTTGATGAGCTCTCTACGATTATTATGGAATTTGGGGCCCTACTGAACACCCGACCTCTCCTATACGTAGAAAGGCGAAAACCCCGGAACGTTGTTACGTCCCATAGACTTCCTTCAAAATGAATTCAAAGTACCCATTCCACTGGACTGTGGGCTAGAAGAAGGCGACGATCCCACCTATTTGACAGCGGAAGAGCGAATCACGTTTAAGACCAAAACAGAATTTATCAATGCGATCCAAAGCTCATGTAAATTGACCGCCAGGTTTTGGGAAATGTGGCGCACACAGTATTTGACATCGCTACCGGAAAAAAAATTAACTGGACGTGGACAAAAAAGGGGTTCTGCGAATTCACCGAGAGTTGGGAAAGTCGTTCTCATCAATGACGCTCTACAACCCCGGCACACATGGAAGATGGGGCGGATCGAGGAACTCAAAGGAAACGAGGAAGGAGTGGTTAGAGAAGCAGTTATTCGTCTCCCGTCTCATAGGAAAATACGTCGACCCATAAATTTACTCATACCATTAGAACTGGACGATGGGCCACAGAACGAAGTGGAAGAGAAAGTACAACTTCCACCACGGGAGGAGAGTAATCGCGCGGAGAATGAGCGTCAAGTCTCACGGGCAAGGTACAACCTAAGACCGCGAAGAGGACCTAATCTCTGGGCAAATCAAATCACGACTTCGATAGGCAGCGCTCCACTTATTCTAGCCATACTTCTGAGTCTAATGTGTGTGGGAATAGGGGCAAATTCAAGTCATGAGACTCATTCCTCCGATATAAGTATAACGAGACATATTCGTTGCATCCAAGGGGGAGTAGAAATCATTGCCCCAGAGGGAGATCCCTATGAAATCTGTGTGGAGGGGTCATGCACTACCTTCACGAAACCTCGCGCGGCCGAAATAATACGTTTTGAACCCCAAGTAGTCCTTCATGAACATGAGGTTCGGTGGAAATTCATAGAAAATGCACTGGTCAAGGCAATAGAGATCACTTGCCCTGCAGCTCCGTTTCGCGAAGTATTGAGTGCATCTTTATGCTCAGCCGCTGTGTTCAATCCAGAGTGTTGGCCGAGATCAGCGATTGCAGTAACAGCACTATTTCTTTATTGTCTTATAGCGGGTTGTTACGTGCTCTTGTATGTACCAGTTGTAATTGGACGCCCTGTCAGAATTGTAGCTAGTTGTCTCGTCCGAATACCAAAGTTCTGCGTCGGTAGAGCACTAAACTCGATAGGATTTGGTACAAACCAACGTCGTCAAGGTCGAAGACGAGACATAGCTGAACTGCTCGCAATTGTAACACTAGGATGGGTTGCGCTTACAGCAAAAGGGTGTCAAGAGGTGGACATATACAGTCATCGGTCAACGATATGCACAGAAGCATACGGTAGTGAAAGGTGCACGGTGCGTGTTTCTGAAGTCCTGAAAGTTAATCCGTTCAAACGAGAGGCTTGCTTCAAGTTGACGCGCAATAGCACAACTGTTCATGAAATACGCATCACTTGGAAAGGTCTTGTTCTACGTGCGAAAAAGATACAGAAACGTTTACTCGCGATGTACAGTTCCGCGTCATAAGCAGTAAGCGATGTTCCACTAAAGGATTATGTCGGGATGCTAAATGCGGGAATGTTGATCGCTCCACGTTAATCGCAGACCTGCATGAAGGAAACGCCTACCCGGGGGTAACCCTATGCGTGGAACCATGTGGAGGGTTTGGCTGTGGATGCTTCCACTGGGACTCAGGGTGCTTATTCTATAGAATTTATGCGGTACCCACGTCTTCGCAAGTGTACGAGATATTCCGGTGCACGAGATGGGCAGAGGCGGCAAAGATTAAGGTCGATCATTTCGACGCAGTAAAAGGAAGAGCGCGATCATATTTCCTTTATATGCATCCGAACATGCCTAATAAGTTAGGTGGATTCAAGTTCACACTTGCCTCTATCACCGTGCCACCTATTCCGCTCCTTAGCACACGGTTTGTGACAGATGGAATTGGAGAAGCGCTATGGCACAATGAGATCAAATCACCATTGCTATTTCCTAACAGAACTGCTGCGGAAAACCTTTGGTGTGAAATCAACGACGATTGTCAGTGTTATCCTGCTGTGATAAAAGTTAACTGCAGGTGCAAACAAGTAAATATTTCGGCGCGGTTTACGAATTTGCAACACTATTTACCAATAGCAACACCTTCGGTCATATTACGTAGCAGCAATGGTGGGGTACAAGCTAAAATCCCAGTGATGACCACCTCAGAAATCACGCTGTCGATAGATGATAGACTAGAAACCACCGTAATCGTCCAGGACAGCGTGTGCAGCATAGAGAACGCAGAATTGCCAGGTTGTTACAATTGCGCGAAAGGTGCTGTAACTCAGGTCAGATGTACGGCGCCCAAACAGAGCCAAGCGGAAGTGAGATGCGACCAATCGAGCTTCTCTATTCTGTGCGATGAGAAGGGCATTGCGACGAGTCTAAGATTTAGCTTCAACAAAGCTAGAGTCTTTTTGAAATGTTCTGTCTCTTGCAGAAAAACCATTTCCAGTTTTGAGCTTAGCGGAATACTGAATTTCGCGCATACGACTCATGGCATGATGAGCATGTGGATGTCGGGAAGCGCGAATGACAATTCAGAGCTTCAGTGGACTGATTTTGGTCACATATTGGACGTATTCACTCATTGGTACAAAACGGTCATCACCGCGATTTTCCTGGTCGGGATATTAGTTTTCTGTACCTTTATTCCTCTCCACCTGTGGGTTACGCCCTTTGTGGTTTACCATAAGGCAGGTAACAAGATTCCTACGGTGGATTTGCTGCACTATCGTTACCTTCCCGTGGACAGCGGGGAACGCATAACACGCTCAAGGCACGAAAAACATCTCTGAAAAGAAAATGTTATAGCAGTTCCTGTAGTGTATTAGTACAAGTAGGTCAAGTTCACAAGGCAGTCACTAAAATAATTTGTTGTAACCTCGGTGTCTTCCTTTCCAAATTCTCGATGGTTCTTTTCTCGATGGTTCGATTTCAACAGACCAGGTACAGAAGTTCAAGGAAACCTCCTCAACCTCGCTATTCTACTGCACGACCCGGACCCGACGGAACATCACGTCGAAAAAGATCTAGATGACGGTTCTCCAAAGCACTTCACCATGAAATCGGCAACGCAAGAGCCTTAAGAACCCATTGGCAGTGTATGAGCGTAGATCCTTCATTTCTTGAATCTTCTCCTGCACAAAAGCTCTTAGACGTTAGCAAATACTTATGCACCGCGACTTGTCAGCAAGGAGATAATTCTCCGCATGGGTACTCGTTACGTCCTCTCGGATCTCCTCTATCACCACCAAGTCCAAGGGGGGAGGCTCTCGCAGAGAAGGAGAGATGAATGGTTGCGTGCCGCGCATGAGCATGACGTTCGTAGTTATCAAGTGTTGGCGTTAACAGATGAATGGACAAGGCGCATGGAGAGGGACTATTGGAGAAATGAGGACAATAGTTGAAGACGCGGAAGTGTCACTGTGCGAAGATGATGATTCCTCCTCTATAGTTCACTAACTTTTCCCTAGGACCCGAGCGCGCTAGCGAAAACCTCTGTTCGAATTTGAAGATATTTTGAACTTCAAGAGATGATAAACACCTAAGCAGGAGAGATTAGCCAACTGAAAGAGCAAGTCGAAGCCCTTACGATGAATCACAACACAGAGAGGCCAATCGCTGTCGAGAATTCGAGCCAGGACGATACTTCTCAAGTTAGCCACCCAGAAGAAAACGAAGACGACTACTGGGTGAGAATGGTGCGCGAAGTAACGGACCCCGAAGAACCAGCGGCTCCGGCTAAAGGCGACGGAGATAACAGTGGTCCTAGGCGCAAGTGTAGGAAGGAGGAAGCGAATAAGCTGTCTCCGAATTGTGCCACGTCGCCTATTGTGGCTGAATAAAGAACTCCTTCTTTCTCGCATGTTGCAGGAGTTTGAGCGGTTCCCCTTTAGACGTATTGGAGAAACATCATACGGCATAGACAGCGCGACTACTTGCAGTTTTTGCGGCGTCACTGGAAGACACTATAGCGATTCCTGCCCTCAAGTTATCGACGGCGATGAAAAATGAAAATAAAAAATTTTCGTGTTTCGGAAATGGAAGTTGGTGTTTACACTCGAAATTATATTTATATTGAGCACATTTTTCTTTCAAAGGCTTTTTCAGAAACACCCTATCATGCGAATTTTCAAGAACTTTCCAGGTGGATTTATATTTTTGCAACGCAGTGTATATTTCACAAATTGTTTCGAATTAGTAGTCATAGCTCAATACCACGACATTCATTCTGTACACGCGGGTTCAAAAAGGCGCTGGCATGCAAAACTGAGATAGCTGCTGCTTTAATCACCTGCCAGAACCGAGTCTTGTCTGGAACACTTTGTGCCTTTTGGATATCCACGAGATAGGATTCAGGGTCGCGGCATGTTGCTCTTCGAACTGTATCGAAAGACTGTGTGGAGGACACCGTTGATGGTAACATTCACCTGAAATAGAGAAATATTAAGTCAGCCACAAATTCCACTTCTCTGAGCAGAAGGTTACATGCCGTGCTCTCGATGAGGAGAGATGGAACAATGTGAACTGCTTTCATCCTTCCTTTCAGGTTTCGACAGCGATTCTAGAAAAACTGCGAAAAGCAAGATTTTTCTGCACTAGATTACCTGAATCAAAGTCCCCTATTTTCAACTCACAAGGGAGGTCGTTCAGGGCGTGCCAAGCTTTTTCAAAACGATCTTTTGCATGATATAGGGGCACATGCGGGAACCACAGAACCATGTTTTTTCCTGAACGGCCCTCTGAATACCAAAAAGGGGGTCCCTAGTTCGATTCCTCGTGGTGACAAATTTTTGCATTCCGAATCGACATTTTGAAATTTGCACAAAATGGAGTTTAAATATTTAGTACCATTTTTATAACTAAGACCGTCAACAGGCGATGGAACAGGCAAGCGCGCTTAATCCTGGAGCGTGCCTTTAACAAGGAAGGTCTAACATTACCGAGGGGTTATGAGCAAGAAGACGCTGATAAGATCTGACTAGTATACTCTGACAAAAGGGAAAGAGGAATGCACCTTTCGATTGTTCTCCCAAAATTGGCAACTCCTTTTCGATGATCGACAGCATACTCTTCATGAAGTCTTTATCCTTCGTAGCGGCTTCGTAGTACTCATAAAGCATTCCTGCCAGCAGAGGTGGATGAGATCGTTGCAAGTAGTAGACACGTCCACCGTTTGGAATGAAACCATACCTGAAATAGCCAGTCAAAATTCTTCCACAACGATTAACCCTCAGAATGAAATTGGCACTGGGGAGGCAGTGCTAACGCATTTAGGATTACACGGCATTTAGATAATCCGGGCGTACAATTTCAGGGTTGTTAGGTACCGTGAACTTTTCATCATTACCTAATTGATTAGGTTGGGTCCTTGCCTTTAGACAATCCGAGGTTATTTAGCCGTGGTGCAAATGGTACACCAAATGAGGATTACGTATAGTCACTGCACAGAGTTACTGCACCTGTTCAAACGACTGAACCCAGGTTTTCGGATAATCGCTTTTGTTGGTCGTAGCATTTCGCCAAGCAACCAGGGGGGGACCGTTGAAGTTTGGTTTGATTTTTGAATAATATATAGGAAAAACAACTGGCCTGTAGTCTCGAGCTCGTGGCGCTTGTCGAAGACGCGGAAAATCGCAAAATAATTATATGCCGATCATGTTTTGATATTTTAAAGAAGCATAGCAGCGAAAGAAGAGAAATCTGCCATGAGGCCATGGTTTATCGCGGTCACTACCGCGATCATCAAATCAAAATGATCCCAATACGGCTGCGTAATAATCAACTTCGCGTACTTCGGACCGACGCTAGGGTATAAAAGGCTCCCACGAATTGTTCACAAGACATTGTTCGCTTTTCTACGATTTCACACTCCTCCGATATCTCTTTTAGGCATTTTCTAGATTTCTCTAGGTTCTTGTGTATAACTAATGTCTCGTTGTTTGTTAGTGTTATTTAACAGTTCGTATTCTCTGGTTTTATTATACAATTATTCTTAATAATGTCTACCTCTTTTAGAGACATTTTCGAGGTGTGCGCCGTGCGCCTTAATAAATCGCTTGGTTTGAGACCGTGGCGTTGGGACGGTCGGTCTGATGACCGCGTGGCATATCGAGCTATACGACTATACATGGGGTCCAGCTTCCGAGTTCAAAACCTGCTAAGCTTGACGAACGTAGTGACAACTTGGTCGTTGCTCGTCATGAGCAGTAGGTCTCCTTTTTGCTCTTGTGCCACTCCACTATTGAGTATAACTGCATTCAGTTAATGTATATTTGCTGGTGGCCTAGAAAAAAATAATTAAAGGGGAGCTGAGTCAAGTGCAGATTGTGCCGCTTACAGGCACGGACGCATTCGGTGTCGATCTTTGAGCTCCGCTGAGGCTAAGAAGACCTCCCCTTCCCTCACCGCTCAACAACTCCTACCACTTTCTAGAGAAAGAGAGGATTAATAGAGCAGACACATTCCTTACTCAGCCCGAGAGTTGTCGAATGAAATAGTGATACAAAGTTGCACCTCCAAAATGACTTTACCAACTCCGGTGCCTCCACCTAATATTTTCATACTAGACGTTGGAAACTGAAGAATACCCATTCATAAAGTCATTATCGTAGTAATGAACCGGAGTAGGGCAGAAGGGCGAGCAGACAAGTGTGCACGCTTACCACGCGAGCGGTCCGGGGAACGAACCCAGGGTCGTGCTTCGTACGGATTAACGAAGCCTTCCATCTCTCTGGGGTCGGTTGAAATTGGTACCAAACTGTGTGGGAGGATAAAAACACTGACTTGTACATCGGCTGGCGGCCTCGTGCAAAGTCAGTTGGACCACATCCCAACTCGAACGCGGGGTAATCTACACTGGTGTGCAAAACTTCAGGGACGAACGTAGCTTTTCCAACGACGTGTTACTGGCGCGTAACATGACTCTATGGAACCTAACCACACATACAAAGAGCTGCCACAGGGCACTAAAGAAAGCAGTTAACAGGAGCCGTTGAAACGGTCCACAGAGCTATCAAGCGGATTGTGAAACTTCGAAAGGTCTAGCTGCTACGCGTTCGAATTGCCCACGGACGTCTTTCACGAATGCTGGCGACGGGGATGCTCAAACTTGGTTCTTGGAGTGCATTCACTAGAAGCTCTTTCTGGCCTTCTGCTTCGTTGCATTCACATCTTACACTTCTACTCCATCCTATTCCATCGATCGATTTGTCTCCACTCTCCGAAATCGCGCGCTTTAACCCGATTCTCATTGCGTCGCCTGGTACGTAGCCGGCCAAACGCCGTCTTCTTTCCATGCCTCGCCTGGCTCTGCCTCCTGGTCCTTCGATGGTCCATAACGTGTAGTTTTTGTACGTTTGTTTCTCTTCAGAAACCGAATCTTCATGCGTGAAACTTTGTGTGCTATTTCCAGTGATCACAACTGACATATTCATGTTAGGAAAGAGTGCAAGAATTTTCCGCGCAAGATTCCTTTAAGATGCGGCTGTACCAATCCATTGTGATTTCCACGGCGCTGTATGCAAGCGAAACATGGAAAATCACTGCTGGACTCGTCAGAAAAATAAATGCCTTCCATCAACGTTGTCTTCGCCGAATCATGAAAATACGGTATACAGATCACATCACTAATCAGGAAGTCCTACGCCGCACAGGTATGAGCAGCCTCCACGTGATTGTGGCACGGCGCAGACTCCGACTGGCTGGACATATCCTACGTATGCCACAACATCGCATTCCACGAAGGGCCATGTACTGGGTCCCTCCAGGAGCCAAGAGAGCAAGGGGCCGTCCCAGAAACACGTGGAGACGAACATTCGATAATGACCTAAAGACCATGGATGTTTCTAGGGATGAATGTGAAACACTTGCGCAAAATCGTCAGCAGTGGAAAGAATTCGTCGCCCGATGTGCTCAACAGCACGGGAGGAACTAAGTCTAAGTAAGTAAGTATATCGAGATATATTAACTGATCCATCTGCCGTCCACTCTCAAAAGTTTAACACTTACCACCCTTGTTTAGTTAAAGAGTTTCACGTAATTTGTCTCTGTTACTTTTTCCGGGGCTAGTCTTTCAATTTCCTCCTCTGGAGGAGCAGAATCTTGGGGAGTTACATACGGCAACTTTAGAGTGCAATATTTTTCAGTTTGATGGCAAACTATACAAACAACATCCGAGAGTTAGCCATGGGGCTACGAACTCGTACTAGCAATACAGGGTGCGCCAAAATTACGGCGACAACGGATGCGCATACAATTTGAACCACTATTCAAAGATGCTGTTTACTGCTGCGCTATTTTGGTTTTGTTGTGTTGACCTGTTCATAATTATCTTATTTGACCACCAATATGTGTGATTGCTACGATGGCTGAGTGATTCTGCCGCCATTTCTAGATCACTGAACTTCAACTTTGAGTTTCCGGCACGCAAGAATTATCAGCGTTTT